AATACAGGGACTAAACATGATATTTACATTTGTTAGGGATTTACTTTTTGTGTTTGATGTGAGGATTTTAATCATAACCTCCCAAACTTAAATGTTATACAATATCTTTGAGGGGGCTTTGCAGTAGAAAGCAGGAAGTACAGTAACGAGGAAGAGAATATAATGTATATGTACACATACCAAGTTGTGTTTCATGGCTGTAGAGCAAAGCATGCATTACACTAAAAATAGGCGATAAAATGTTTCTGCTTTTAGAATTTGTTCCTTAAAGAAACAGTACGCTTGGAATGCGAAGAACGCTTTGAGCTGACCGAGGCTTTGACCCAGGCTCGAGAACAACTGCTGGAACTAAAGCAAGCTAATGGAAGCTTTCTATCATCATCATTATCATCACAAAGATCATTTACTGCAGAAAGGCCTAAACTAACTCAAAGGACAAGTAATATGGACCATAAACATCCTCAGAGTCTGTCATCCAATAAGGGAAGCAGACTAGTGAGCCTCCCAGGTAACAGCTTGGTTTCAAACAAGCATTTACAGAGCAGTAGTAGCAGCTTGCCTTCATTGCCATCACCGTATCCAAAAAAAGAAAGGGCATTTTCACTCACTGATGCAAAGCCAAAATTAACTGCAGTTCTCAGAAGCCAATCTACTCAACAATGACATTATACGTATGCATTATATTATATTGTAATATTATAACTCTGGAAAGAGCAGCCATATCTGTGTTGTCCGAACTCTTTTTCACAGTGTGCAAAGAGTCCAGCTTGGACCCCTAAGGGAATTTACTTATCGATTTTATTAACTGGACATCTCTTGTGCAATTTAATATATTTTAAATATATTTTAAATACAATTTTAAAAGTAAATGCAAGGGCTATTTCTTATTATATAATTCCTTTTTGTGAATTTTTTCCTTGATTTAGTAGGTTTTGAATTACCAACTTATAGAGCTTTTCTGAACCCACCTGCACCTCTACCTCTAGCGGTCTGTTCCTGGAAAGTTGTGTGACCACCTAGAAGTAATTATTGTTAGATTTTTATTTATTTATTTTTAATACTAACTTAGCAGTAACTTTACATGTATGTGTAAGAAACAATTATGTAGGCGACCGGAAATCCCTCAAGTGGCTGTCTGGTAAAAAGTTTCTTAAAAACTGCAGTAATTACCTGCTTAGGGTTAACGGACATGGGACAGTGCACCCAGACCACTTCAATGAGCTGAAGGGGTCTGAGTGCCTATAGTGTCCCTTTAAACAGATACTTGGCCATATGAATGGGACATATCAATATTCCACATCACTTGTGTCACTCCTCCTACATTACTTGCCTTTTACAAAAGTAAACCCTTATATACTTGCTAATAAACCCAGGTACACGCATCTCAGTTGCAACCCTTTACAATGATACAGTCAAAGGAGAACTTTTATCTCCCCTTCCAAACGGCAGAATATCACAGCACCTCAATGGATCCTCGTCCTAAAGTATTTTCTTGCTGCCCTTATTGGGAGCTGACAATATACATCAAACCTAAAAATGTCACTAAATAATGCAAGTATAGAAATATTGTAATTTCCTGATTTTCTAGTACTGCGGCTTTAAAGTAAGTTGTCATTACATACACATATAATTATTATGTTATTATTATTATGTTATTATTTATATAGCGCCAACAAATTCCACAGTGCTTTACAGTGGGTGGACGAACAAACGTAGTGGTTACCAGACAAGTTGGACACACAGGAACAGAGGGGTTGAGGGCCCTGCTCAATGAGCTTACATGCTAGAGGGAGTGGGGTAAAGTGACACAAAAGGTAAGGATAGTGTTAGACTAATAACAGTTGCAAGAGAGGAATCAGTCGTGAGCTATTAACAGTTTAATTGATACACTTGTTTTCAATGATTATTTTGAAGGAGTGAAGACTGGGTGAGCATCTAACTGAGGAGGGAAGGGAGTTCCACAGGAACGGTGCAGCCCTCGAGAAATCTTGAAGGCGAGCATCCGAGGTGGGAGTACGGACAGAATATAGACGTATGTCTTCAGCAGAGCGTAAGGGCCTAGACGGGACATACTTGTGTATTAGGGAGGATAGATAGGTGGGAGCAGGATTATGTGGAGATTTGAAAGCAAGAACCAGAATTTTAAATTGAGCCCTATATCTTACAGGAAGCCAATGTAGGGACTGACCGAAGGGTGAGGCGTGGGCGGTGCGGGCGGACAGGAAGATACCACACATGCTCCAAGTCACACATTTCTTGTTGACACTGCTTGGCTAAGCCAAAAAAAGCCATGCTAAGATATGTTTATGTACACATTGAACTTTAGACCTGATACTTTTTGCTCTTGTTTTTTTTAGTTCATCTGTGGAAAAGCATGTGACTGTTTAAATGAAATAAAAAAAAAAATTACAAAAAAATTAAATATATATATATATATATATATATATATATATATATATATATATAGGCTTGACTGGTGTGCAGATTTTTGTTTAGCATTGTATTAACTATCCACATACTTCAGGTGGAAGGGGTTTTCAATCACAATTTTTCCCCACCATAACCTAATTGGATTTTGCTTCCCAAGCACTACCAAGCCTCAATAAGCAAACCAGTAACCAACCTCATGCTGAAGAGTTGCATTAACAACAAAACAGCTGTCCATGAGTGGTTCACTGGTTTTGCATCTTATCCTAAATTGTGTTCCAAGCAGTTGTATACTGCAAACACAAATTAAAAGGAATCCATGTTTAAAATGGAATGAGGCAAAAATGTGATTCTTTGTTAAACTAATTTGCATATGCCCACCCAGAATCCTTTGCGGTTGTAACATCACTGCTGATTTGGGATTTCTGTGGGAAAAGCAAGTCTTATGGCTTGACTGGTGTGCAGATTTTTGTTTAGCATTGTATTAACTATCCACATACTTCAGGTGGAAGGGGTTTTCAATCACAATTTTTCCCCACCATAACCTAATTATATATATATATATATATATATATATATACTTTTATTTATTTTTTTCAGTTTAGTTTATCATTCCAATGCAAGGTGTGTAATGAAGAAATTGCAAGTATAGCTTGGAGCAAAGAAAGAATGGTGCTGGCAATGGCATGATTGTCGTATATAAATATCTTAAGGTATTTTTTTTATTTCAGAAACAGGTTACCTAGAATAAGTGTGACTATTGTCAGATTTATGATGGTAATTTTTAAAAATTTGTTTTAAATGCAAGCGTTGCGGATGCATTGGATAGCTCTCCTGCAGAGTTTGTCAAGGATAAATTGGTGAAAAGAGATCAAGACAGTTTGAGATGGGTATACTACTGCCCTGAGCAGAAAAACAAAGCAACAAAGCCTGTGAATTTGTTATTTTATTTTTTTTTCTGTTAGGGCATGAGCAGAGCAAATGTGCCAACTGCCATTTATTTGCCAACACTGATGCTTCTAACTCAAAAAACACCATCTAATTAAAGGTAATGCTAAACTCATCTTTTATGTCAGTAGTAATAGTTCCAAGTAGTTTTTCAAGCAGGAATACAATGCTGCACCACTTCATTAACAGGTCACTTTGTGTCCCCCACAGCTTTAGTAATTGAACCCTGTCACTAGAGAAATGCTTCTATAATGCCTTAAGCCAGTCTTATGGTAACTATGTTCCATACGGAACACATACAGAAACTTAGCAGTACTGACATTGTTGATGCCTGTCAGACAGTGTAGGTGCTGATCAGAGATCCCACTAATATATGTATATATATTATTTATTTTTTATATATTTTTTTTTCAAGACTTGTTCTGAATTAGTTTGGAAAAAGAAACACCTGTAAATTTGCAAAGGGTACTTGGCGCAGTGCATGGTTAGTTTGTTTTGTTGGTAGACCACACACAAATTATATCCGAAGGAACATTGTGTTTATGTGAGATTTTCTTTAGAAATTACCCTCTGTGCCCTAAAGGCTTACGGAGACCTGCGAGTCTCAATGTGACTTATTCTTGACAATATAAACCGAAATAAAAACATATTTACAAAAAAAAAAAGAAAAAAAGAAATTACACCCAAGGTAATGAAAAAAATATATTAAATTGTTTAATTGTTTCTCTCTTACAAACAAGATTGAGTGTTGATTGTTCTAAAGGCTTGGCAGTCATTGCTTCTCCTGAGACATGGGCCTGGCTTTATGCATTCTTTATTATGCTATGCAATTTTTACTTTTTTTTTTTTTTTTTTTTTTTCCCATAGTTAATTCCACATTGTAGTATGAGATTATATAAAAATCAAAGAAACA